AGGGTTTAAGAACATCCGTTGTTCGACCTGCTAGTCAAATGCGTTTTGTTAAAATATACTTTTTCACTTTTTTGGTCTTTTGGAAAATGTTGTTTGTGCTGTATTTAGACCACTCTACCAAGAAATTTGTTTTGCATGCACACGTATAAAAATTGCGGTTTTTATCCAACGCAATCATAGGTTTGAACGTTGTTTTCAATTTAGACTTGTATATATATATATATATATATATATATATATATATTGTTAAATCTTTAAACACTGATGAAGGCCATTTGTTGAGCCTAAATATTTGCAATTAATGTATATATTTATATCATCTGTTCAGTTTTTCCATCTTTGTGCGATGATATTCAACACTTTTTAGTGTTTTGTTTTCCATCTATTTATCGGTATTGTTACACAATCTTTTAGACTTTATATATATATATATATATATGATCGGGCTTATATGATCCGTTCATCCTATTTTGACTCCTCAAAATTCAAGAGTCTATCCTAAATTGAGTTAAATTATATGGCCTTCCAAATACCGTTTCGATTCCTAACATCACTGAAGAGACATTAATTGTCGAAATCCGGATATGGTGTACAAAAATCTTTGCACCTTTGTTTGCGGTATACCATCTTTGCTGCAAGTTTATTGTTTTCTGTTTGGTATTAAATTTATAATTACATGTAAGATCCATTTATTACACCTTGTGATCCGTTTATTTGGCAATCGCCAATGGCAGTCAGCAGGGTTTAAGATCATTTGTTGTTCGACCTGTTAGTCAAATGCGTTTTGTTAAAATATACTTTTTCACTTTTTTGGTCTTTTGGAAAATGTTGTTTGTGCTGTATTTAGACCCCTCTAACAAGAAATTTGTTTTGCATGCACACGTATAAAAATTGCGGTTTTTATCCAACGCAATCATAGGTTTGAACGTTGTTTTCAATTTAGACTTGTGTATATATATATATATATATATATATATATATATAAAATTACTGAATAATAGCCAACGATAAATCTTACGGGGCGATGGATCATATAATTATGATACAGTTCACTACAAAATATAATATATAACCAGTCTAAAAGGGTACAACATCACCAAAAAATTACAATAAAATGAACATATGTAAATATAAATATTTCGGATAACAGATATCCTTCATCAGTATGATCACGATGTAAAATGAATTTTATCAACCTATTCTGATTATAAAACTATAGCAATCTTGAATTCTATACAAAAAACAGTTTTACCAGAGCATCATAGAGACGCTAGTACAATTCTAAAATTTCCAAACACGGCGCAATCGACATACCTAAAATAAAAATAGTAATAATTTGCGATATGAGCTTGCACAACTTTAAAATTCCAAAGGTGACGACAGTTAAGATGTTACAACAACTGCGTGGAAATACATTCCCAATAAACAACACTAACCGATCTAAGCTTGTATAATATTTCAAATTTGACAACGGTAGAGTTATTAAAACAGTGGCTGCGTATTTAAACACCCCAAATAAATAGCAGTTTGATAATGATAAGAAAAATAATTGAACGTGACTGCGTACTTTTACATCCATCCCAAATGAGTAGAACCCTGTAATTAAAACTAGTATAATTAAAAAATTCCTTAAAACTGTAGGAGTCTAGTACAGAAGCCGGAGTTACTGGAAACAAGTGATGGCAGGAAAATAAGTGATGGAAGTACAATGAGTGATGGTAGGGAAAATGAGTGAAACATTCTATGTTTTTTCGTGTATGCCCTCTGGGGAAACTGTCCTTAGCTTTCTTATCCAAAACCTTTCTCGAGCAAGTCTGTCGGGCCTTGACCAACCCTCGTTGTGGTCTATGATTGTGATGGTAAGGTTTCTGAGATCAGCTTGGGCGTGCCCGGGTGATCTCAAATGACGACTTACGGGGAGGTCAGGCTTGCAGGTGTAGTCACTTCGATGACCATTCATGCGTTTGTTGAATGGCTGTTCTATTTCGCCAACATACTGCATGCCACATCGACACTCAAGAAGGTATACAACATTTTGGGTTTTGCAAGTTACATTACAAAATATAGTGTACACAGACCCAGTGGAGTGGCAAGTAAACGTTTGAGTATTTAGTATTTGTTGGCAAGTCAGACATCGTCTGTTACCACACGACTTGCACCATCCTGCAGTTGAACCGCTTTTATTAGAGGAGACGTCAGCTCTCACAAATAAGTCTTTCAGATTTGTTGGTCTTCAAAAAGCTATGACAGGAGGATTGGGAAAGGTCTTGGATAATTTTGGGTGCTTGGCAATAATTTGCCAGTTAGCACGGATCAAACGTGAAAAGTTAGTAAAGGCAGGATTGTATGTTAAAACAAACGGAACTATTTTACTGCGACTCTTCTGTTTGTACTGTAACATGTCATTGCGGCTGTTATTGTTGGCACGCACAACCCCTTATCTATGTCCCATGTTTTATAACCTCGTTTGGTCAAGAATCCGCGAATTTCCTGTAACCGTTTAGTGACAGCCTCCTCAGAGGAGCAAATCTTCCTTATTCTGAGAGCTTGACTGTACGGGATACTTTTTGTACAGTGTTTTGGGTGACAGCTTTGGGGAGAAAGGTACTGATGTTTATCTGTAGGTTTACAGTAGAGGTCTGTTGATACTACTACATCTATAAAGGACGGTGTCATATCAACAGAACAACGAGGGTTGGTCAAGGGCCGACAGACTTGCTCATGAAAGGTTTTGGATAAGAAAGCTAAGGACAGTTTCCCCAGAGGCCATAAATGAAAAAAACATAGAATGTTTCACTCATTTTCCCTACCATCACTCATTTTACTGCCATCACTTATTTTCCTGCCATCACTTGTTTCCAGTAACTCCGGCTTCTGTACTAGACTCCTACATTTTTAAGGAATTTTTTAATTATACTTGTTTTAATTACAGGGTTCTTCTCATTTGGGATGGATGTAAAAGTACGCAGTCACGTTCAATTATTTTTCTTATCATTATCAAACTGCTATTTATGTGGGGTGTTTGAATACGCAGCCACTGTTTTAATTACTCTACCGTTGTCAAATTTGAAATATTATACAAGCTTAGATCGGTTAGTGTTGTTTATTGGGAATGTATTTCCACGCAGTTGTTGTAACATCTTAGCTGTCGTCACCTTTGGCATTTTTAAGTTGTGCAAGCTCATATCGCAAATTATTACTATTTTTATTTTAGGTATGTCGATTGCGCCGTGTTTGGAAATTTTAGAATTGTACTAGCGTCTCTATGATGTTCTGGTAAAACTGTTTTTTTGTATAGAATTCAAGATTGCTATAGTTTTATAATCAGAATAGGTTGATAAAATTCATTTTACATCGTGATCATACTGATGAAGGATATCTGTTATCCGAAATATTTATATTTACATATGTTCATTTTATTGTTATTTTTTGGTGATGTTGTACCCTTTTAGACTGGTTAAATATTATATTTTGTAGTGAACTGTATCATAATTATATGATCCATCGCCCCGTAAGATTTATCGTTGGCTATTATTCAGTAATTATATATATATATATATATATATATATATATTCAAGAATCAATCCTAAATTGAGGTAAATTGTATGGCTTTCCAAATACCGTTTCGATTCCTAACATTACTGAAGAGACATTAATTGTCGAAATCCGGATATGGTGTACAAAAACCTTTGCACCTTTTGTTTGCGGTATACCATCTTTTCCGCAAGTTTATAGCTTTCTGTTTAGAATTAAATTTATAATTAAGATCCATTTATTACATCGGTGATCCGTTTATTTGGCAATCGCCAATGGCAGTCAACAGGGTTTAAGAACATTTGTTGTTCGACCTGTTAGTCAAATGCGTTTTGTTAAAATATACTTTTTCATTTTTTTGGTCTTTTTGAAAATGTTGTTTGTGTTGTATTTAGACCCTTCTAACAAGAAATTTGTTTTGCATGCACACGTATAAAAATTGTGGTTTTTATCCAAAGCAATCATAGGTTTGAACGTTGTTTTCAATTTAGACTTATATATATATATATATATATATATATATATATATATATATATATATATATAAAAGAATCGTTATAAGAATAAAGTTCCAGTAACTTAAATACAACAACAAATTTGTATTGCCTAAATACCTGGTGTAAGAATATCCATACAGTAGTTCCTGTTAATGTGTTAGAATTAAGTATTATCCACCAAAATTATAAAAAAGGTACTGGATATCTCCCAATGAAAAGAGTGCGTCAACAAAAGGAGAAATTATGATAAGGCAACGTTTTGGTCCCTTTAATTCAGAAATCAAAATATATAGTAGAAAACACATCATGTACTGTGTCACAACCCTGGATAAAGACGAAGAGGAATGACATAACTCGAATAAAGAAAGCTATATTTTATATAGTAAAGTTCTCTAGTGGTACAGGGCGTTGGACACAGTGCATGCAGTGTTGTCACAATATCACAGAAGCAAATCCCGCTGACGGAGATAACAAATTTTAAGATCTAACATTGTTTGGCGAAGGTTCAGTTTTTGTTTTCTGTGTTGTTTTGTATACTGTTTTTTGTCTTTTGGTCGTTTTTTGTTTTTTGCAATGGCGCTGTCAGTTTGTTTTCGACTCATGAGTTTGAATGTCCCTTTGGCATCTTTCGCATCTCTTCCTCAGACGAAGTATAAAAAAAAATTGGGATATTAGCCCTGTATAACACTAGGCCATTCTATGGAGAAAACCAATAGTTTAGTTGTCACATATTTAAACCTGACAGGTTATCTTGAGATGTAAGACCTGACGAACGAATACAAAATCAGAAATGCTTTGTACCCATTTGCTTCATACAAGTGATGCATACAAATCATGATTAACATATGCACATTTTAGTCATCGAAAACGTGAAAACGTGCAGCCAAGTTGATGTAATGTTTAGCTGAATGTATGGAACAGGATATTATTTACTGTTTTGTCTTTAATGTATATTAATTTACTTCTAGAACTTTCCGAAATATGGACGTCGATCATAGTAATTGGCTAAGTCTTAAGGAATTCGGAGATGGCCTAAAGGACTTTGGCCTTAGCTTTCCCGAAAGTTCGGTAGAAGAGTTATTTAGCTACATTGACAAAGATGGCCAACATGGAATTCTGTTTGACGAATTCCTAGAAGCACTAAGGGTAATTATTATAAAGAAAGAACTCATAAGCACAATGAGTATGGAGGTTTTTAAAGTGCATGATAAGTTTTAATTAAAAAAAATGATTAAAAATTGGAAAAAAACTTTCAACATGCATAAATTTCTATAAACACATTGAGGGAAACGAATTGAAAATAAATATAAGGAGATGTGATGTGATTGCCAATACTTATTTAATTCGATGCGGATTTAAACAGTTATGGGCACCGTACGACCATCAACAATGAGCAAAACCAATATGGTATAGTAAGCTATAAAAGGCCTCGACATAAAAAAATTCGAAACAATGTTAAAGAGAAAAACTACGGCTTGAATATGCTAAAACAACAAACGAAATCCAAATAAGACAATTACGACCGAAATACAGGCTCCTGACTTAGGATGGAGACCTTAAGAAAGTGGCGGGGATTTGAGTGCATACGCCCTCTTCTGTTGATTACTTAAAGCAGAAATATCATTAAGGTTAGAATAGCAATACCGTGTCTTCAATTCCACGATTCCTTTCGTTAATTGTACTATGGTAGCATTTCTATTTATTTTTTTAAGTTATTAAGTCAGTGATTATACTTACCATCAAAAACACCTTATATCAATATCTTATGTTTTGGTAGTTTGATAACTTTTGCATTTTTTAAAATTTATTTTCTGTTACCACATTAAGTTTTTTCCTATTTCACCATATCGGTAGTATATGCACAACAATAAGGTTTTTTTTTCTCTTTGCCGTGGTATTTGCCAAAACTATTATGCCTTATTTTAAACCATAACGTTAGCTTGATTATTTGATTTGTGAGCATGATTTGATGTGACTGTTTTTGTTAAAGTCTTGATAAAGAAAAAAATATTGCATTAAATTTCGACTATTCTATTTGACCATCTCTATTGATGGTGGGTATAATTAAACAGATCTATCATGTTCAGGAGGGATATTTTCCACAAATTTCAATCTTGAAAAGAAATTTTTGTCGCCTAAAGCGTCTCAACAAAAAATAAATATATATATTTTAAAAAAAAATATTCAATTTGACAGCTTCAGAAGTTTTAATTTTTGACCCTTTTCAAATGTACCATATCACTACTTTGCCTTAGAATTCATACAAAGTTTTTACAGTGCTATTTCATCCACACCCCTTCCCCACCCAGTTAGGATTTCTTTGTACATGGAGCATAAGGAGATAGATTGGGAAGGTGTATGGGGTAAAATTTATAAGTGATGCACTGTCCATACCGGTTACTATATTTGTAGACGACAACAAATCGAATGAAGATTCTTGGAACAGTATTGGAATGTCAAAGATACCCGTAAACATCTACTCTAGTATACGGATGAAAACATGCAAACACGCCTGCTAGAATTTTTTTCTAATTTGATGAAGTACAAGATTACCTATATGAATTAGTGAGCTCTTTTAAAACAACAAAGACACTCATTGTTTTATCAAATTGAAATCTTTGTTTTTACATTTTAATTTTTTGGTTTCTATTCTAATTTTACCCAACAGCCTCCTATGTCACAGACGAGGATCTCGATCATCAATGAAGCATTTGCCAAGTTTGACAAAACTGGTGACGGCGTAATTACTCTTGAAGATCTGAAGGGTGTTTACAGTGTTAAACATCACCCTAAATATCTAAATGGAGAAATGACAGAAGACCAAATTCTCAGAACATTTCTTGATGTGTTTGACCAGGGAGTAAAAGACGGAACGGTAAAAACACATTTTTGGTTTTTTTTCCCTTATGCATCTGGCTTTCTTACATGCATAAGAATTTCTACTCCTATTCAAGTCTTACCCACTTAGATGTTTCGTTTGATACGAATAATGCCACTTACTTTTTTCATAATTCAATAAGAAAAAATAACAAAGATTGGCACCTCAAATCGTGCATAGACACAACATTCGAATAATGTATTTTATAGAAATGAAAAATTAAATCAACCACTTATTATTATTATAATATTATAATTCTGGTATGTTTACTAACATAAGGTCATAGCAGTTTATTTTTGTGGTGAACAACAGTGGTGTTATCGAGCGAAATTGTAATAAAATAGGTATGACCAGTTTCCCTTTGAATTAATTTAATCTGTGGGTCAACATCTATTAATGAAATAGAATGTAGCATTTGATATATAATTGAAATTATACATGTGAAGCAGGATCAGTTTTTGGTGGGGTTCGTGGTGCTCAGTCTTTAGTTTTCTATGTTGTCTAGTGTACTATTGTTTGTCTGTTTGTCTTTTTCTTTTTTAGCCATGGCGTTGTCAGTTTATTTTCGACTTGTGAGTTTGAATGTCCCTTTGGTATCTTTCGCCTCTCTTTTGAATAGAGACTTTGTATCTAATTTGTACTGCATCTATTTGCGTCCAGTAAGTTTAGGTTTTGATTTGGACTAACAATAATATTTATTGTTTCATGATAAATACTGCAAATTTTATAGTATTACAAGAACATCAAAGTATACAAATGAACTTAGAAAATATCAATTAACATTTAAAAATCTTTTCAAAATGGCCCTGGCGTTAAGTGATATATAACTTCATAGGGAACTGGCCATTAGTCTGTTCTCTAGACTAAAATATTAAAATGATGTCTTGCTAAATAAATTTATATTTTGATTTTTGTCCTGATTTGGTTTGATCAGCTCTTCAATTTTGTAATTTATTTTGGATTTTCAAATAGTTGGCCTCGTGCATCACTGAAGAGACATTTTAGGCATACGATACAGTTACAGAGGAGTTAATGACGTCACTTACGTAAAATGCTATCTATCAAGACTTCAACTGTGACATATAGTGAAAGAATGCATTTTTCGACTGATTTTAATCATTGACTTAAAGTATATGTTTCAAATGATATTTGGCTTGATTATGTATGAAGATTTTTTGTACCAATTGTTATGAACAGATCACATATGAATTTTTTTTAATTTAGATTGATATAGAGCAACAATGACGGTTTTTTTCTAAAATCGTGAGAATTTAAAAAGAATGAATTCTTTCCAAAGATGTAGAGCAAACTTATGTTTATAAGACATTTCAAATGTTTTAGGAAAAATTCAGTTGCGTTTACCTTTTGAAACAAAAAAAGTTAAGTATGTTTGCCAGAGAAAATAAATGTTTAAGAACCATAGATTTTGAGTAAATGTCTAAAATTCCGACCCTATTTATCTCTTAAAGTAACACATTAAGGTATATGTTGAATAACATACTTGAATCATTTAGATTAAAAATAGCTTGTAAAAAATAACCGTGCGATCAAAACTGTATCGCATGCCCTTAATTTTAAATCAAAGAATTTATCTTCCTAATGCTAAGCCCTAATTTCTTGACTGGACTTTGCTGTACTTTTGTTCCTTTTTTGTTTTAATCAGCTCTTAAACGTTTGTGTGAGGTTTTGGATACTGAAATAATGTAGCCTCGAGAACCTTGAAGAGACATTTATTGTCGAAATCGCATTTAGTTCAACAAAATTGGTACTGTTAATGTTATTACTTATTTTATTTCTTTTCAAATTTAAAAAAAGGGTGCGAGTGAATGTTGCCTAAGTAGGACGATAAAATAATTTTTACCTTTAAAAAAAAATTGTGAGTACAAATTCAAAAAGCTGAAATTATTTTTCTGTTGTCTCATATTTCTTTTAGTAGAAGAAATTTTCGCACAAAGAAATATCAGGATAAATATTCACCACACAGTAAATGACAATACATAGCAAATATGAGTTATTAATAGAAGCTTGGTAATAATTCAAGTATTATATTTTTTATATTGCATTGTTTGACTTAACCTTTATGTTACCTAGGTGACCAAAGAAGAATTTACCAATTACTACAGCGGAGTAGGTGCTTATATAGATACAGATGAAGAGTTTGTGAAAATGATGAAAACAGCATGGGAAATATAGCAAAATTGCTTGATACGATATTTGTACCAACAATATCTGGGATAATTTACTAATACCATTTGGACTGTGATAGATGCATGATATCATTTGTAAAACAACTTTTCAATGCAAAGTATTTTCTTTTACATTTCATTTCAACATATTCATTTGCTGTATACACTGTATAAAATGAAGTAGATAGAACAGATTTTATAAAGAATTATATTTGTAGAGATGAATATTAATATTATATCTTCTTTATGTACATTAAACTCATCAAATATACCAGGATGTAAAAATATTTGTTGTTTATTGCTTAAACGTTTAGCATGTACAATTTCGATGGTATTAACTATTATTTGTAGTTGTTGTTTTCATTTTTTAACAACTCTTCATATTTCATAGGAGTAAAAGAGAGGCAGAAGATACCAAAGAGATAGTGTAACTCATAAGTCGTAGACAAACTGACAACGCCATGTAAAAAAAACCTAAAAACAACCAAAGTTCAAACAACAGACTACTATAAACCACTTAAAAAACTGAAGACTGAGCACCACAAAAATTCAGAGATATGTTCACTGTCACAAAAAATCTCACATAGATATAAGATGTGGTATGAGTGCAAATGAGACAACTCTCCATCCAAGTCACAATTTGTAAAAGTTCATTAATCAGCAATTTGACATTATTGCTGGTTTTGTCATGTTTTCAGTCGTCTCACCTACGACTATATATTACCTTGGGGTTGTATGAGGGATAGTGTATCCATAACTCATACTGCTTTTACTGTCCTCATCTCATTCCATTTGGAATGAATGCGATTCTCAGTGTGTTTTCCACTCCCACTTTTGTCTATTTGTAATTTGATTTATTATATTTGAACTGTACTCGGTTATGTAAATTAATTTTGCATTTAAAAAATAAAGAACATGTTCTTAGATCAGTACTTTGTTTCTAGTCTTTTTGTTAGTTTAGTTGTTTTTTTGTGCTTTTTGTCGATCAAATAAGTCTACCCTTTTTCAACAAATTGTATAGTTTGTTATTTTGGTGTGCTTTTACACTACTGTCCCAGGTTAGGTGGACGGTTAAGCGCTCT